ATTTGGGGAATTTTGCCTCTATTAACCTTTTCTTACTGAAGATAGTTTCTCTAATCTCACCAGCTCCTTCAGAACACCAACATGTGTGCTAGTATTTGTGATTGACTTTTGTTTCTGAGCCTTATGATACTTTTACGAAAGCATGAAATGATGGTATTACAAGAAGTGAAAGTGAAGTGACGGCAGAACAAAACTAGGAGCACATTTGGTAATATTTATTGTGAAATACAGTAAGTTTGTGCTTTTATAATACAAATATGGTTTGTGACGTCTTGGCTTTAGTGTGAAGTGTCAGATGATAAATGTCATGGTCTCTCAAATGTTTTTATCCTCTGTAATTTTCTTTAGCTAGAGTGGGATGTTAGCATGAAAGCAGTTTCCGTAAGTCGGCCCCGTGATGGGCTGGTGTCCTCTCGTAAAATAACAGCTGACCCTTAAAGGATAAATGGTATAGATTGTGGTTGGATCATGGAATAGATGTGGATTGCCCACGTCCCCCAGCAACTGCTAATTTTCAAATGCATGCTTATCGAGAGCCTCGCTCACTCTCATGAGTTTACGCTATTGGTTTATGATTAGAACTTCTTTCAGCATTTTTTAATTTTGCTGCAGGGGTTCAGCCTTGTGCTTTCGACAGCTGTAAAATCACCGCTGGTGTGCATTCTGTCCCTTCAGTGTGGCTTAGCAACGGTTTCAGATCTAAGGACAGCCTGTCCCTCGATAGCAAAACACTGCTTTTACAGTTGGAAACCGTGGACACCATGCTCAGCTCCAAGAGCTCTGGCTTTGGGGATTACAGGGGCTGGATCCAAAAGCTTTGGTTGATATATCAGGGCCTCCATGGTCCTCCACCATACTAGTGTCCGTTTCATTCTGACAAAGATGTCCAACTAAAAAAAAGTCCTCCAGCCTGTAGGTGCCTTGGGATATTGTGTCCTTTTTTTCTCTGGCCTGTCTCACACATCCTCACCATAGTTGTTGTCACACTAATCTTTTAAATAATCCTACACATAACAGAGTAAATAATGGTGATTAAAATGAAACACGTGTTAGATATTGGAACACAATGCAACACTGTTGCTTACAGTTTATAGGTTTGTTGAATGGAGACGGATTAGACCTGTATATCGACTTGTATAGGGTAATTATATGGTGGCGATTTTTGACCCACGGATTGACTCAGTTTTTTGTTGTGGTTTATCCAAGAAGACACGTTCAACTTGGTCCGCAGACTGAAGGCACACTGCCCCGGCCCCACTGAGTGTAACAGAGCTCTGGTCGACTGTTAATTCAATATTTATTAATATTGAAATTATCGGGTGTCCAAATCACAGACACTGCACTTTCTCTGGCAATTTTCAATATAGATATGCCAAGTGTAAACTCGATTTGTTTAAAGGTTCATGAGATATGCATTCCACATACAGACAGATGTTTGTGGAATTAGTATTGGTAGGCGATAACTTGACTGATCAGATAAGAGGTTTTTCTCGCTACTGAAATGAGAAGCTGGGCTGTGGGCATCCACAGCCAGACAGCTTAACTGGTGAAGGGAGTGTTACACTGTTCCCGTTCAGTGCATCTCTAATTAGAGCTAGTTTGCTAGCCTGTAGTAACAAGGAAATAATAAAATGATAAATGGTCTCCAGAGTTTCTGAAATAGAGTGTGTGGGTGCATACTCTATATATCCAGTGGTTTTAGATTTAGCTGAACTAAAGTCTTAATGTTTTACATAATGTTTTTGGACCGAGTTCACATGGAAATAAAACAAGACTCATTACATTCATATAAAGCGAACAGGACTATAATGTTTTACACTTTCACAAGTGTGATGCTTAAGAACCCAGTTAATATTTCATGGAAAACTGCAATTATCCTGCAGGCAGAAATGGCTCCCACTGCTGTCTTCAAACATGCCAATGCATTGTGGGACGTTTATCGTTCTCAGCTATGTTACAGCGGTATAAGACACAAGGCTCCACTTTTTCTCCCATTGCCATAGAAACTGGGTAGACGTGTAGCTTCCTCTGAAGATATCGTGGTTTGTTTGGGAATATGGAGGCTGACAGACACACATGACAAGGTGATGGGGGAGGGTTAATAGGCACTGAATCTGTAATGGTGTGATGCTGAACTGAGAGAAGAGGAAATATGGAAGAGTTAGTCAGAAGAAAGGAATATGGAATGTGGAGTTACGCTATATTAGTCTGAAAAAGGTGCTGGGACCTGGAATCAGATATAATTTCAATGTTAATTGACTTTTTTGAAGCCTTTTGTTGTCGTTTTGTGAATTTGTATTATGTACTTGTTTCAATCAAGCTTGTTTTTGTATGTTGTTTCTTCTATTTCCTTTTCAAGATGCATTGTATTTGCTGTAATTGCTAAAAAAAAAAAAGTATTTAGATTAACTGGATGCTGAAAAACACCTGAACAAACGTCAGTGTGATAAAAATGACCTAAAATGAGAGAAACCATCTTTGAGAAAAATGGTTTTTAGTTTGGTCTATGTCCCTTCCACTTACATGGAGTAGGTGGGTTTTATGACCTAGTCACCCAGTCACCACGTGGCAATCGAGATTCTTTGGCTTCACTTCAAGCTGTTATGTCGTCCATCTTTTTATCTGGTCTATGGGTTGTATTAATAGTTAGGGAGAGCCTGATACTTTTATTACCACTGTGTCACAGAGCTTGCACAACATTGTCACAAACAAATGCACAATTCACAGACACATGAATGTCACTCAGGCCTAACAATCCCCTTAAAATCAATTGAGCTGCAACAAGTAACACACACTGATAGATATTAGTCCCCTTAATTTACCTGTTCCATTAATCCATTAATTATTCTCTGAGAAATTGATGAAAAGGTCATTTTCAAATGTTAAAGGCAGTGAAACAAGCTAAAATTGAAAGGGTTCCCTCTCACTCCATGTCTGTTCTGTAGATTTTGTGTTGTCCTGCTGATAAACCAACCAACCAATGGACAGGGCTAATAAAAGTTATAGAACAGAGAATCTGCTGCCTTTAAATAAAGGAAGAGAAGAGAGCACAGCCCACTATCTTGTTCATTAAGTAAGTGCTTTGATATTACATGCAGAGACTCACAGAATCCTCTGTTATGCATGGACTGTGGTTATTACAGAGAAATGTGTGTATGGGCAAAGTGTCTGCATGTGCTTATGTGCTCTTGCTTGTTCATGCATATTTTTGTCATGTGTGTGTGTGCATGTGTGTGTGTGCATGTGTGCTTTTTTATCCAGCTATGCATTTGCACTTATGTGTTGAGCTGGAACACATTTGAATGTGGATGATTGCAGCATTCTCTCAGAGTACGTAAGAGTTAGGCTGGAATTGTTCAACGTTAGTGTGTGTGTGTGTCCATGTGTGTGAGTGTGTGTGTGTTTGTGTGAATGAGCGATGGTGTCCCTTCAGGGTGTAAATTAGCTTGCGGCGTGAGGCATGGCCTTTACGCTGAGACAGAACTCTGATCAACTGTGTCTAAAAGACTGATAATGTAAAACTACTCCTCTCCCTCATTATTTACACCGACCTCGTCGCTCCTCTCCCTTCTGCCGCTTCTTCAAAGCCTCACAAATCCCACTCATCTCTCCTGTCGCCTTCCAGTCTCCCTCCTCCTTTCCTTATTTGTCCTCATGTCCTCTGTCCTCGGCCCTTTTCACAACATTCTCCTTGCCATCTTTCAACACCTTCCTCTCTGGAGAGATGAGGTGAGGTAAGGTAAGGTGAGGAGAGGTGGAGCAGCACTTAATAGCAGGTAAATTCCTAATGCCATATTTCTGGGTCTATAGTAAAACACATTCACAGTGACAGTGTTTGTGTATTTAGAGTTTTGATTCTGACCTTTTCTCTGATTAAGAATTTGAGGTTCTCCCCACAAAAAATATGGATTTTATTTATCCTTTATTTAATCAGGAAGGTCCCAAAGTCCTGGTTAAGACTTGGAGCAATGAAGTAAAAAAGTTTCAAATATAAACACAAGCAGGGATAAATTACACCCACAAAAACGTAATGGCACTCAGTAGAGCACCTATTGCCAAGCCCCAAAAGTCCCATCAAGCTGCTCCGAACTGCACACAATCAGTTCCCAAAATATGCTTGATATTTTTTTTTATAGATAGGATATATATGAATATTCTCTGTGAAATCAAATGCGTAAAGCAAGGACAATGTTCTATAAAAGATTTTGAACAAGTCAAGAAATGATGAGTTTATCTTGCAGCTCAGTCATGTGGTGCATGGAAGAAAAGAAAAACACTGATTTACACAGTTCAGGTAGTTTGGATCTTGAGGATCTTCTCTGATCGTGTTAGTATTAGTAATGTGATCAAAATTGTTGTCTACTTTTCTCCATTCATTATTTACTAGCTAAATTGATTAGGTACATGAAGTGGGGTTCGGTTTTTTTTGGGGGGGGGGGTTTGATAAAAGCCTTTATCTGATAGTATGAGATACAGAACAGTAAATGAGAGTTGAGGGACAAAAGGTCCCTAGGAAGTTTGTGCTTCATGGTTGGTGCCTCTCTTCTCTTCTCTCTCCTCACCTCTCCTCCTCTCTTCACTTCTCTCCTCCTCTCTTCACTTCTCTCCTCCTCTCTTCACTTTTCTTCTCTCCTCTTCTTTCATCTCCTCTGGGTGATGCTGCTGGTCATGCACACTTCTTTGGTTCACACTCATTGAGTGTCCCCCAATCGCGCACACACACACACACACACACACACACACACACACCGTCAAGCCCAATGATGATCCCTCCTCTCTTGCTCACATCAGCTCATCCTTCCTCAGCCTCCCTCCATGTCTCTCTCTCTCTTTTTCCTCCCCATCCTTAGCTATGAGAGAGAGACTGAGAGAGAGAGAGAGAGGGGAGGGTGCAATAACGCGCGAGCGAGCCAGCGGATGAAGTGCGCGTGCTCGGTCGTTTATTCGGTGTCTGGGTGAGGGACTGAGCGGAGGGAAGGATGAACAGATGGAGGGATGAGCGCGTGAATGAATGAACGGATCCAGACACTGGCTTCTTCCACAGTGCCGAACCGCTGAGAGGACGCAAACAAACGTGTGTATTACCTCTGTTATTAACGCGCATTTATAATGATTGCATTTGTCGAGCCGTGCGTGTGACACGAGTGAAGGGAGACGTGCGATCCCTCTGACAGCCGCGTTAATTGCAGCGGGTGGTGGTGGTCTGCGCGGATCGGTTCGTGCGTAAAGTAGGGGCTCGGAGCTGTCAGGTCAGGTGGAGGATGAGCTGATGGAGACACCGGGAAGACATGCAGGACCGGTGGGGGTCTCTCTCTCCATCACTCAGGTGCGTGCGGCACCACCGAGCCCCTTCCCCAATGCACGTCCAGATGAAACCATCAGTACCGCTCCAATCAAGCAATTCTCCAGCGCGCAGTCCGCTGAGAAAATATGCAAAGTGTCCGTGCGTAAACCGGAGAACCTGACCGGTGAGCTGTCTCCGCTGGAGGGAGATTATCCGTGATATTTCCCCTCAGTTGCAGGACTGTAACCCTGTCGAACGGGGTCGTGGACTTTGCAGGCTGTGAAGCTGGTGTTGGCCAGAGGGAGTGCGCAGGGTCAGGGTGCAGGGCAGGAAGGGACAGACTGTAAGTGTAATTAAATTATGTGAAAATTTATTACAGCCATATGGAATATATATATATATATATATATATATATATATATATATATACTGTATGGACAGTAAACTCTGTGGGTCTGATGAAGAAAATAAGGACGAAAAGGGATTAGGTGATTAAGATCAACTAAATTATAAGTGATGATGAGGATAACTGAAAATAGGGGTAGCTTGATGATGAAGATGAGGTAAAAGAAGCAAAAAAGAGTAAATAGTGGTGATGAAGATGATGGAAAATGTTATTATGTTAATGATGGTGATGATGGTAGTTTGGATCATGGCAGCTGGATTATAGAAAGCATAATGATAAAGAATATTAAAATGATGTTAGTAAAAATAAAAACTGTAAAAATGCTGGTGATGTTGATGAAGATGATGAAGATTTAAAGGTTCTCAATAAGCATAAAAACAGTACAAATGCTGGTGCATCATTATGATGAAGATGAGTTCTGGGGATGATGATGATGATGAAGAAGATAATCGTCGTTACAGTGTTAATGATGATCTTGAAAATGATTGTGATGATAATTATCATGATAATGGCAAATTATGGTAATTTTAATGATGGTTCCAAGGATTCGATTGATATTATTATTATTGATTATAATAAGTGAGATTATATATATTAAAGTAATGATGCTGACGATGATGGCGGTGGTAGTTTTATTGCAATAGCTGAGCAAATGGCAATGTGACGGTAGTTATGGGGACTTTTTTCAACAATGATAAATAATAAATTAAAGATATGTCGCCCTCTCAATAATTCAAGGACCCAAGCTGTCTCAGGAAATGTAGGCTAAACATTAATTTGCATATCTCGAACCATTTTTCAGCTTACGTCAGCAACATGAAGTCTTTGTGTTAAAGCGTCTTCGATGCTGTGACTGTCCAGTTACTGAAATGTGGGCCGCGTCTGCAGGGTGGATACAACAGTTCCCTCATGCACCGGTTCAGAAGTTTATTTCAGTGTTTTCTGATTTAGGAAGCCAAGCCGCGGTTGGTGTTTTGAGTTGTGCCCTAAGCAAAATAACAGGTGTGAAAGACGCCTCTGACCAACAGACCAAAATTTTGTTCCACCGAAAGAGGTAGCCTCGGAAACGAAAGAGAAACTTGATGATTTCAATTGAATTTCCATCAGAGCTCTAATTTAAAAAAAAGACGACATCCCACTCTCTGTATTTGCTCTATGTATTTTGTATTTGTATACTTTGGGCAGGTTGTCCATCTGTCCACTTAAACATCGTGGTTGATCTGTGACTGTCAACAACTGCAAAGAAACCAGGCGTCAGGAAGTTAAAGCACGTGCATTTATTCATTATTTTGTGAGCGGCCTTATCCCAGAAATGTCAATATTGACATTGATTTTGGTTGAGCTGTCACATTTATAGTCTGCCTCTAGGTAAGCGTGTGTGTTTTGTGTACGGGCTTAATAAGTGCTTGCCTGTGTACTGACTAAGTCTCTGTGTGTTTATGCCAGTGCCAAAAATACCCAAGACTCTCTCACTTTTCCGTCAGTGTTTCCCTGCCCTTACCTGTGAGTGTATCCTCATCTAATCCATTAATGACTTCAACAACACACCCACTTCCTTTTACCCACGTCTCCGCCTCTATTCTTGTCCACGTTAATCTGGTTATGTGTATCACTGGCACTCTGGTCTGGGGTTATTTGTGCACTTGTTACCGGTTGCTGAACCTAGGGATCCCACTTCTGTCAGCATGGTGTGTCTGTACAATGGCTGGGAGGGATAGGAAAGTCCTCGCGGTCATAATCCTCCTCTCTCAAGTGTGTGTGTGTGTGTTTGTGTGTGTGTGTTGCATGTCGTTAGTGTTGACAGGGTGGAAGGGGGCTTGTTGTTGGCCCTGGAGATAGATGCCTTGTGTTGTTAATGGGACAGCAGGGGGCAGATGATGAAAGGAGAGTAGAAAAAGAAAAAATTAAAAGAAGGAGCAGGGGGAAAAATACATTTCCCAATAAAGGAAAGCAAATGAGAAAGAAGGTTCTCGGTTCGAATCCTGGTTTGACAGGGATATGCTGATGTACCCAGCCTCTCACCCAATTCTAGCCCATGTGACCCCCAAGAGGATAAGCAGTATTAATAATGGATTGATGGAACAATTAATATTTTTATGTTTTTACAGTAATTGCATAATTGATTATATTTACACAGCACACTGCTGTGGCTGTGTCTTGTCATATGATTCTTTTAAGCAACATCAGCAGATGAGGTTTTTGAAATGCAAGTAAACCACCTAAAATATGCGATTGACTATTTTCCCATTGAGTTTAGAGGAGATTGCCTTTCTGTTTTTTTTCCGTCCCTGTGCGTCATGTTTGACTTCACGACAACTGACTCGCTCTCTCCCATTGCTGTCTTGCCAAATTAGCGCATTCACCCATGCGTCGCGTTTACATCGCTCTCGATTGGAACCCGAGCTAATTAAAATCCGTGTCTACTGCAAGGTCCATTTCCACTGCAGACAAATTTTGACCTGATGTTGGTGGGTTTTTGACCAGTTGAAAAAGGGGATGTAGTCAGAAGTGGTACATGGTCCCTAGAGGTGACACATTCAAATCTTTAACATACCATACATTTGTTTTTTTATGTTCCCTCTGAGGCCACTAAAACAGTGGTTTGATTTAAATGTTTAAAGCCAACACTCCATCTCCTTCATCCATTTGGATCACCGCTTATTCAGAATAATTTCAGGAAGCATTTTAATCTTACTGCATCAACTGCAAGTCCCCCCCGCCTTGGGGTTTGAAGCTTGGCCTCCAACAGGTTGATTAATTAATTTGCTGTAACAATAGAATGTGAGGACAGTGATATATGTGTTCATCGCCTCTGTAACTACGGCACAAAGTCGGGCCTACACTGCCGCAGCGTGTTCTGAGAATGAAGGCCAAGGGGCAGTTCTTAAAACCATAAAACTTTGGACTACCACGCCTGCCAGAATGTGCATTTGTTAAATTCGGCCATAAAAACTAGAAAACGCAGCATGACATCTGATATATCACGACACTGCTGGGAAACACCATCTGAGTTAAAAAAATATATATAAAGATGAGTAGTGCTGACCTAATATCACCCGAATTTCCCTTGCGGGGACAAACAGGTTTGCCCCTCACACATCAATCATCCCAATCAGCTTCCAACCACTCCCAAAGCATCACTTCAGGGATTCGCTTTAACACGTTTATTGCCAAATGGTGCGGTTTCCAAGCTGGACAGCAGTTTCCAGTGTAGCAGCGTTGATCGCACTCACGCGGCAGAGTGATTTGGCCCTCGCTCACTCACGCGCCGCGCTTAGTCCTTCACAGGGAAAGCGGCTAATGATGAACAGAGTCCTTAATAGCTTCTAGCGCTGAATGCTGCACGCAGCGTTTTTCTCTGTCTCGGTATTGACCAGTACCAGGGAGCTTGATCGGAGACAGGACAGTAAGATATTGCAGGATTGCTTTAGTCTTGGCAAAAGTCAGTGTTTGAACTCACTGCATTTATCACAGGCCGTGTGTAAACTCCTCATGCAACGGCATTTTATGTCGGAGACGGCAGGTGAAAGGTGGCTGCAGAGAGTGTGAAAAATCCACTTTTTTAAAACTATTACTTCAGCATTATAGCTTGCTTTCTTGAGCTTTTTATGTCCAGAAAACTGCTTTCAGACATGCACTGAGCTCTGGACAAACTCCTCAGGGGCCGAATGTGAGAACACAAATCTCAAAAGTCAGTTTGCTGCAGACTTTCTCCTGAGTTGTTTCTGCCTGCCCCTATAGTCTGGATTATGTCCAAATGAGCCCATGTGAGAACTCAGCAGTAGATCCTTCAGAGGATTCAAACCAAGCGAGTGGACGTGTTGATGAAGTTTCTATCACACAACAGAAGCAAAACTGACATAGAAGAAAACATTAAAAAAGAACAGACATACACATTCAATACACTGAAGATGTTTTGGCGAAAACAGCCAAAGTTGGCGTTGACTCAATGTCAACAAAAACATGTGATCTCTGCAGCAGAATTGATGCTGCCCCTTGCTTGAATTTCTCTGTTGCTGTGAAGCCGTCTAAGCGGAGACTCTCCTTCTGTAAACTCTGCAGAACGTCCAGACCCCATTGTGTGGCTTTCATGTATGAAAACAGCTCAAGTAATGGACCAATGTAGATAACTTGAAGCAGAAGCATCAATTAACAACAAGTCAAACATTGAACAGTCGATCACAGTCTCGGCAGCTTCTCACTGACAGTACCTCAATAGATCCAGATGTGATGCAGTAAAAAGGCCCATGTGTTTCAGCATAAGTCTCCATCCTCAAGTGAAGGGATAAGTGAGTGCTCTAAAAAGAAAACTACAACACTCCTCTCATAGTATATTCCCCGTAATTCACTGACTGGAAATAAATAAGCATTTAAAGGTGAAGAG